AACCATTATGAAAAACAACTTACCAATCAAACTCACTGGATAAACTTGTAACACAAACTATATACACCAGTCAAATGTTACTGTCAATAAAGGTCAGTAAACTGTTTGGTCACATATTAGTGCAAAGAAATAAAGCTAGAAAGAGAACTGGGGAATCTGAATGCTGTGCTCAGGACTTTCTCACATGACTTTCACAAAATTTACCTAACTTTTGATTTATTCAAATGAAAATTATTTATCTGAGAGAAAAAAATAAAATAAAATAAAATATTTACAAAATTCACAAAAAAATAGTTAGATGTTTTCAATCAAAAATTAAAAATAAATAGATAAATAAACTGTGGCCAAAATACAAAGATAACCAGTACTGGATTTGATTTAACCAAAAATTTGAATAAAACAAGAAAAATTTACCTTTTACATTTTAGAAATCAATCAAGATCTAAATGAAAAAATATTCACTGCTTTTACAAATTAAATTACAGCATTCACATAATTATGAGATCTATGCAAATAATTTAAAAACAACAATATGGCATGCCTGTAAAAATTAAATATGTACCCTGAAAACAGTTTCTATCTGTACGTACACAATACCTCGACTGGCCAGTTTCGAATTCACAGAACGGTGTGCACACAAGTTCGAATTGACATCTTATGGAAAGTCACTCTCCAGCGAATCACTCACGGTGTGTTTACCATGCAGTCGTCCTGGTTCCGGTTGAAGGCATCCAGCCCCACGTTGGGCGCCAATGTTGCAGGGGTGGTTTATATATAGGATGTAATAACAACCAAACTCCTGTCTAAGGGTTCATATATGTTTAATATGGATGTTCATCAAGTAAATGAATGAATGGCCCTATAAAATAAAACAATAACAATGAATATCACATGAAATAATAACAAATGTATACATGCATTCTATTTTACCTATTTTGATGTACAAAAGATAAATTTAACAGTTAAGAGTTATCTCTCTTAATTTAAATATTTAGCATATAAATAAATCACTGTATAGTTAATCCTTATACACATATTTTACAATCACATTTCAATTAATGCAATGATATAATATTATTACTTTAAAATATACAAAAGGGAACATATGCTAATTACCTATCTATGGGACAAGGCCCATTCCTTAAAACACCAAAAACTACTGGATGCTTCAGCTTACATATCTAATAAGAAATACTACATACTGTACTATATATTACAACACTCATGGTTCTAATAAATATATATCTCTGAGATGTAAAACTGAAGATTAAGCTTTAATTCATTATTTAAACTTTCACTCTTCTTTTAAACAGTGATATTAGCTAAATAAAGGTATTATAAAGATAAAGAATGTTAATAAAGTAAATACTTACTTCCAGGTCTGTTCTAAAGGTCTCAAGTCATGAAAGTCTTTAAAATTCTTTGTCTATAAACTCTAGTAAATTTCAACACTGCCAACCTGGCCAAAACCTCTGAGTAGTCTAACTAAAGCAACTGAAAACAACTCAGAACCACAACCAATAAAAAGACAGAACCCCAAGAGAAATGACCTTGAACTTTATCGCTCACAAGTATTGGTATAGGGGTGGATCTAAGTTTTATATTAAGCTCAATTTCATTTACTCGGTATATCAATAATACACCTATTTATTCCATATTGTATGTTTCATAATATATACAATTAAAAACACACTGCGTTCGCTTCATGATCGGGAGGCCCGGGTTCGATTCTCGATACCTAAGACGTAAGCAAAGGTTGTGACTGTTCCTTCGCCAAGCGCTCGGCACTAAAAGTGAAAGTCACGGGTCTTTCGGATATGACCTTAAAAACGTAGGTCCCGTGTCACGGTAGGCGTTGGCACGATAAAGAACCCTCACTGCTCAATGGCCCTGAGTGCCGAGTATAGGTCTAAATTTGAAGCCCTTCACCGGCATCGGTGACGTCTCCATATGAGTGAAAAATTCTCAAGAGGGACGTTAAACAATATACAATCAATCAATCAATCAAGAACAATTGAGACCGAAAAGATCAGAAACTGACTGATCCTTGTCATGTATAAAAGGCAGTGTGTAAATAAGGACCCTAGCATTAGAATGAATATGTTTGGCAGCATTCGATTTCATGTCAGATGAATTGTATTTCATAACAGTGTCATTTTTTCTACTGCAGAATTTTATGACTTAAGACGAAACTGTTACATGTAATACATTTATCCTTGTTTCATCCAGCTGTTAATACAAACTGTAGCTAAATTACCTCATTTTATAAATTACTCGAAAGGGATATCAAGTAGTCAATAGACATTACCCTTACATTAAAATGTAAAACTGCCTCAAAAAGGGAAAAGCAAACTCGAAATGTTCTGACAATACGATGCGACAATGTGAACATTTATTCAATATATTCATGCAGGGTGTCCAATAATATATCATACCATTTTAAATTATTGTCAGAAACGCAAGTCTTGATCAATTTTCTTTAAAATTTGTCTCATTAAATATTTGAGTAAATAGAATTTTTAGCAACGGATACTTAGTTTAATTTTTACACATAGTTTGAGTAATGTAGTCACTTAATTTCGACTAAAAATTGCATTTGAAGTTTAATTATCAAATCCAGTCTTAATATAATGTTACTAAACCTAAATCTCGAATCTTACATTGTAAAAGCTAAATATCCAATGAAAATCTAGAATATAACTAAAGAAAAACGCATTGTTGTCTTAAGTTATGGAATTTTGTTTAATATAAAGACATTATCATTATTCACTTGGACGTCATTTAGACGACATTTGTTAAAAACAATAGCATTATTCAAAGTAAACTCATTTTGTCGTGTTCCTTTCAATTTCCATCAAGTTTTGTGAAAAAAGGTAGACAGTATATGCAATCTTTATAGTGCATTTGTTGTAATTCAATATTCATTACAATAAATTTTATATATTCATGAAATGGTATCATATATTCTGGCACACCCTGTATATTGTACTACATGTGCATGTATTGACGAGAAATAGATTTATATTAAGGTAGGATTCTTCTCGTATTTCTTATATTTAAAAATTTATGAAATTTTCACAGAATCAAGAAGACAATATCAGTTAGTTAAAGTATTTACTAAAAAACAAAAATAATTTTTATGCATTTTTGGCTCAAATTTGTACTTTGATTGGAAACGTTTAAAAGCTTACATAGTTCTAGTTTGTTTGTAAAATCATACCTATTTGATATCTCCCAAAAGTTGAATCCCTTATTATTAATTTAACTTGCATTTGAAAATTTCTTCAAGTCTTTGATTGTGTAAAAATTATAACCAAATTTATTGTTCTATTATAACTTTAGGAAGCAGAAAAGAAGATATTTTAATACGCCACCATTCCGCTCAAAATATAGTCCATGCTAGTTTTTAAACGCAATTTACCATTTCTATTTAAAGTTCTACAATTCTAATGAGGAAGAAAAATAATGTTTTTTAAATCCCGTACACCTAAATATTTTAGACATCTGTGACAGCGACTGGGAAAATGGGACCGAACCTTTTATAGAGTTATTAAATAAAAAGACACTTTGAAAACAGGGAAAATGCACTTTTTCATGATATTTAATCTGATCTTCAAATTTAAATCCAGGAAAAAGTAGTGAATAAGATATACACTTTTTTCTAAAAATAAATTGAATAGAAATTTTAGAAGTGTACAGAATTGTGACCATTGTCGTCATGGCAACAAAATAAAATAAGACTTCTTATCATTAACAAAATCATCTTTGCAAGAGTTCAAAAACAATAAGTGTTTATAAAAGTTTCAATATTTCAAACACATCCTGTATTCATAAATTTTCAATTTTAAAGGAAGCTATAAAAACTAACATAAAATATTTTCTGGCTTGGAAAATGTCATATAAAAGTGTACAAACCAAGTTTATCAAGTTCATTTTCAACAAAAGGTAAGTCGCGAAGTAAGGAGTTAATCCTTACGTCGCGGGTTCGAATCCCACTGCGGGACGTGGAGACCGGTCCTTCGGATGAGACCGTTAAAACCGAGGCCCCGTGTCGCAGTAGGTGTTGGCACGAAAAATATCCCTTACTGCTCAAAGGCCCTGAGTGCTGAGCATAGGACAAAATTTGTAGCCCTCCACCGGCAAGTGGTGGCGTCTCCATATGAGTGAAAAATTCTCGAGAGGGACGTTCAATATACAATCAATCAATCAATCAACATAAGGTACCTATTGAATTTCCTTTAAAATATGTTCACAGTCTTTGATTGTGTAAAAATTGTAACCAAATTCATTGTTCTATTATAATTTTAGGAAGCAGAAAGGAAGATATTTCTAGATTCAAAGTTTTCGTCAGTACTTTTTTCGTTTTTATTACATTGTTACTTTCATTGAAATACAATTTATCTACAATGTTTAATTCTTCTATGAAACTAAGATCGTGGTCATCTAAATTTCTCTTGGTATAGAACACGTTCTTCTTGTGTCCATGATGCCTCATCTTTTCGCTTTAGATTGACCGCCATATTAGATCACCAATAAAAAAAAAAGAAGGGAAGTAAATTGAAACCTTCCTTTTCATTATTTTGGCGCTTTATTTAAAACTAACAAAAGAAAAAAAATTATTAGCAGCTTTTGAGACAGACCACATAATTAATAATTAAATAAATTTCAAAAGGAAACTATAAAATTAATAGGCCTAAGTGAAAAAAAAAAACCGAAACTAAGCAAACACGTGTTAAGAGTTTTTAGCAATCCTTGCTTGTTTCTATGACGTAAGTTTGATCGCCGATTTCTCATTATAACGTTTGCTGCATCTGTCCCCTTTTCCTCAGTCGCGGTCACATATAACGAAATATACTTTGAATGTTTCATCTAGTCAGAAACCAGAGAAGAATCATACCTTAAGATATTTGATTATTTAAATAGGTTCTGTTAGTGAGGAAAGCTGATATTGTGAGGACATTGTTTAAATGTTAAACTATTTCTTTGGATTTTAAAAATAGAAAGATGCAGTGAAGACTGATCATAAAGAAAAAGGACAGCGTCCAAAGCAACGAAAATCTGGCATGTTTCCCAGGAAGTATCCAGGAGACGATCCCCAAACAGAACAAACTTCAAATTGTGTCACTGTTCAATGGGATGACGGTGAAGAGGAGTGTCTCGAAACCTATGCAGTAGAAATATTATTGTTTGATAACAGCCAAATAGGTGAGAGACAGAAAGCACATATTATTACGCTATCAATAGTGACATTCTGTAAATTATTATATATTTGTTATATAATGCAGGGGTTTATCATCTTATTACTAGTATATAATGCAGGGTTTTATCATCTTGTTACTAGTATATAATGCAGGGCTTAAAATTAACCTAATGGGCTTTCGTCAGATATAAATTTAACATCGGTCTTCCATACATTTAAAATTATATAAACATGTATATATATATATATATATATTTATTTATTTATTTATTTATACTTTATTTATTTATTTAACAGGAATCAGACACAGTGCAATTTGTAGAAAATGTAAATCGCATAAAAGAAGAATAAAAGGGATCCGATGGAAGTGTTCCAAATGTCCAAATTATGATCTTTGCTCATCTTGTTATATGTCGGTGATGGACGACCACGCTGATCATTTATTTTACCGAATCACTGATTCAACAAAAGGGTAATTGTTATAATTTTTATTTAAAGGTTCTCAGAACATTATGAGGATATAAAAAAGGTAAAACTATATTTTCACTCTTGAAATATTTGTAATATTTTCATAAGCTGGAAACATTTTCGGTACCTCACTTGCGTCTAAGGCTCAAATGAGCTTTTCTAATCAAAAGTTGTCTTTGGTCGTTGTTGTTGTCGTCGTTGTAAACTTTTACAATTTTCATCTTCTTTTTACGAATCACTAGGCCAATTTCAATTAAAGAATGTCGGCTTACTAGGCGATGTCCCCCCTTAGAGAATTCTAAAAGATTATAAAAGCAACATTTTTCAACATTTTATGGCTTTAATCATCTTTTACACATTGATTCTGCATTTCATTGCTTTAATATTTTATTAATAAATCAATTTTTTCACTATTGCTTTTAATATATGTGAAAACAGTACAGAAAAGCTACAGGTATGATTCGAACTCTCTCCATAGCGCAGGGTTTTGCACAAGACCGACCGCGTATTTTTTTTTATAAAGACTGACTGCACTAAACAATACGCTAAAAAGTACATGCACTATCGGTGTTAGTCAGTGTGACTTTAAATGATCGTGTTTGTTGAAGCGTATACTTCTTTTAGAAATGTTCGATATTCATATAGAATGGGTTCAGATTTCATTTTTTGAATAAATCTAGGGATGGACACTATCAGACTTCCTTTGGATTCTAGATCTGACCTATATTTTCCAAACAAGCAATTCAGCTGCATCACTATTCAAGATATTCTGATCAAATTTTATACACATACAAATTTTCATATTGCTTCACTAGTATTTCCTCGGCGGGGCATTCATGTCCTATGGACATATTTCAAGTTTGAATTAATATATTTTGTTTAAAATAAGTAGCAATAACATGCAAGTTTTAGAGTTATTTGACAACTCACTATGTACTTGGTTTTTTTTATATCTATGAAGATTGTCTCAAATTCTGAGGGTTTTTTTTCTGTGTCCTACATTTATTGACATGTTACTTAATCTGTGTTAAACTTGTCGAGTAACTGAAAAGATTAATTAATTTTTTCTTTTAAAAAATCAGGATTATCTCTTTTATTCATAATTATTAATTTACACTGAAATTATGTATGCTTTTAATGCATAATGTACACTTCAACTTCATGCACCAGCAGATTCAAAGGAAAAATTTTCATTAGAAATAAGCAGTAAAGATAAAAGGATTATCCAGTTAAAAATAGTTTGAAAAATATTTAAAACAAATTTTCGAGTATGTTTTCGAGGAAAAAGTATTATGGGTATTGTTTGGTATTTTTAATAGTAAAAAGGGATATGACGTACTGGCAATTGCGTCATCTCACTCAGGGTCTTTTCGTCAGAGTTCCTAAAACAACATCGAATGTATAACATCACCTGATGTTAAAGGTTATGCTTTTCTTGTTTTTTTTTCAAATATAGGATAGAGGAAGTAAGAAGTCCCTTTTATAGTATATTTTATGTAATATCATAGCATTGATTAAAGTTAAACTCCATATTCCACAGATAAAAGGTCTTCATGCATTTATTTCGAAGATCATGAAAAGGGGGGTTGTTGCCATAGCGTCTACATTCGAGGTCGTTTGTCAGCTAGTCAGAAAGGCTCGAGAAGTTGCGATTGAACATAGTGGGAGAACTTGTTCTTTTATTACCAGTCCCTGGTAGAGTTTTTTGATATTAGAACATACTGGGGTTTTCAAACACTTAAATTCATTTGGTTACTGGTATCTGTTACATGAGAACACAGCGGAGTTGTTTGTTTAACACTCTGAGGTTACTAAGATGTCTGATATTTTCTATCAGAACATATTTTTGTTCTTGTCTAACACTTTGTGGGGTTAATGTTATCTTTTATCTATATAAGAACATAATGGGGTTATTACACTTTATGGGGTTAGTGTTATCTATTATCTTTATGAGAGTACATAGTGGGGTTGTTGTCCTAACGCTTTATGGGGTTAGTGTTGCCTATTATCTTTATGAGAGTACATAGTGGGGTTAATTGCTGTCCAAACACTTTATGGGGTTAGTGTTATCTGTTATCTTTATGAGAGTACATAGTGGTGTTGCTGTCCAAACGCTTAATGGGGTTAGTGTTGTCTATTATCTTTATACGAGTACACACTGGGGTTGTTTGTCTTATAATTTATGGGGTTAGTGTTGTCTGTTATATCTATATAGCATAGTTGAGTTGTTTGTTTAACACTTTCTGGGATATTCTTGTCTATCATCTTCATGTGAATACATGATGGGTCATTTTACTTTGATGCAACAGTTATCCTCAAATAAAAACATTTTTTTTTTGCATTGTTACTGCTATGCAGTAGTTGAAAAATGTTATTGCTTTATCCGTTCTAAGTTCTTCAGATAAACGGTAACAATTTTAAATACTTATAATTAGTTGCCTGTAAAGTTGACATGACATTAAATAATTAATTTTTAACCCCACAAATATAGATCTTTAACCCCACAATTATAGTCCTTTAACCCCACAATATACCATTTGTTTGAATTCCTAATAAAACCTCTCAAGTCACCACTGTACTAATAAAAACCCCACAAAGCAAAATGATAAACCTGCACCTTCCGTAAAATGCACAATGTACCTCTCAACTGTACAGCTGTGTCCGTTCGTAAGAAATTTTTGTCACAGTTTTCTCAGCAAGTACTCACCGCAGATGCTTGAAATTTTAAAACAATCTTCTCCTAGGCTTGCCATACGTTGGGATACATTTTTGTTAAAATCTTATGTCAACTTCCTGTTTGTCTGTGCATCTGTCCGTTTCATACATAACAAATTTTCGTCGCAGTTTTCTCAGCAAGTACGCATCGCAGTTGCTTGAAATTTAACACAATTTTCTCTTAGGCATGTCATACGTTGGGATTCATTTTTGTTCAAACCCGATGTCAACGTCCTGTTTGTCTGTGTGTCAGTCCGTTTCATACATAACAAATTTTTGTTTCAGTTTTCTCATAAACTATTTATAGCAGATGCTTAACTTTAGTACACTCTTTGTTGAGGAAAGCCATATGGTGGGATCAATTTTGAAATGAATCTGATGTCAACTTCACATTTTTCTGTGCATCTGCCCGTTATTGAACTTGTGTAAAGTAAAATGATAGTTGTTGATTTACATCAGAGCGGGGGTATTACTAGTGAACATTGGCTTACAGATTTCATGTTTTTATTGCTCTAGTAAACTCATTTTCCACTTAATATACCTTACTATCAGTATATAAAAAAGTAAAATGATCAGTCAATTAGGAAAATAAAAAAAAACGTTTTGAATATGACATTACTAAGAACATGATTTTAGAAAAATATAAATCATCCGTTAATTTTGAAAATTAAGAAACATATTATCTTAAAGCGGGGGATTGTCTTTGCCTTGATCGCCCTCTTTCTCTGCAACAACGTATCCGTAGGTGAAGGGGATTCGAGTTTGTTCAAATGAAGGGCAACGCCCTCTTCTAGGGGGAGAGAATTATGAATAAGTAAAACACTAAATGCTCCTGTGTCTTGTTTGAATAAAATAAATCGATGGCTCAAATCAATTCAAATGTATTATAAACAGAAACCAAAACAATCTAAAAACAGTTGCTGTGAAGCTGAAATTGTGCCTTCACTATGACGGTCGTTTTTTCCCTTATTAAAGTGATCATAACATGATCAGTACGGAAACAGGAGTAAACTCCTTTAGCTCAAATGCTCAACATTACTCGGCAAAATCAATACCAAAAACAGTTGTTATTGTTGCAAGTGTGGTAGCAATCTACAAAAAATTATCATAATGTGAAAAACACCCGCCCCTCCCACGTGCACACACTTGGCACATTGCTTCAAAGGGTCTTTTATTTATTTATGATTGTCTGTTTTATTGTCAACTTCTCACTCTGATAATAAAGTGGTTCATGTCAGGCTTATTAAAAAAAATAATAAAAAATACAAGAGTGAAATTTCATATGTAATTTTAAACTGCATTTGTAATGTGAAAATCCATTTTTAATTGCATGGAATTTCTCCAGAGGAAAAGAAGGCAAAACAAATAGAACCAAATTAGAAAAACCAAGGACATGCAGCGAATTAAAAAGAAAAAGAGCCAAAGGCATATTTATAGGTGCTCAAGTTCAGCAACTGAATGATAAAACAGGTAGGATGACTCAAAAGTAAATGTACTGTTGAAGTTGATTAAAAAAGGTAACAGATGAAAAAAAGAAAAAAAGGCACAAAATTTTAAATTTATCTTCAAATATATAATCCCCCCTGTCATGACGAGCGGCGCATAACACCTCTAGCGTAGCAAGCACTGTATACAAGGTGTATGAATAGAAGAAATTCGGGTTAGAAATCTGACATGGTTCAGTCCACGTGAAAACATTATCTTTTGTGGTGGATTAAGAATAGTACAGTTGTAAGCATAGCATCAATAATCTTAGATAAAAAAAAAATACAAACAATAAGATCCATAAAACAATACAAAATATGAACAGAGTAAACACGGACCTACAAAACATCAGAGGAGTGATCAGGTGCCATGATTGAGGGAGCATCCCCTGCTGACCGGTAACACCCGCCGTGTGTTCCTTGTCATGATCCATTCTCTACCATCGGCTCATATATTCACCTCTGTTGTTGGTTCGCGTATACACAGTGTTGAACACGAGATATAGTGCGTTTGTTTTAATTTGTTATAATTCAATTTCTATGCTTATGTCTGAGTTTTGAGATAGATATTTACTAAATCAATCTAGAACTATTAATTTGAATTGAAACAATCCTTCAAATATCCCTTTTATACGTTATGTCAAAAATCTTGACGTGAGCCCATTGCTGAGGTGTCTGAGAGAGAAACGAACGACAACTCTGCATGGGAGATTGGTCATGATCGGGAAAACAAAGACAAATCCTTCTCCATTTCAGTGTATAAGAATTGACTAACAATTAGTATGAAAAACATCGTTCAGCATTTGTCTCAATGATAAATTGTATTTGCTGACAAGGTCATTGTATCCACCATAGCATTTATGAAATAATGACTTTAAACGAGGCTGTTGATGTTCTTGTTTCATCAACTTGCATGTTAATAATTTACCTCCTTTTAGAAATTGTGCATACGAAGAGCATACTCTTGCGTATCGAATCAACTGAGATATATAAACTACGTATACAGGTGATAAAGGTATATTGGTGCATAAGTACGGGAAGTTGAGGATAGAAAAGTTGTTATAATATGCTGGCGTAGATGTTCATGTCTACATAAATAATTGAAAATAAAAATCATTATTAAAAATTTATGTGATTTATTTTCTTTTTCTTATATTAATCAGGCCGTGTGGGAAAAGTAGAAGAGCTTCTCCACTTCAAAATAAAGAATTATAAATGTAATGTTGTTGTGGAGACTAAAAATAGTCAGGTTAGTTCATACAACAAAAAGAACATATGTGAAATGTTTCGATTAACAATAAATTATTGCAAATGATTACTTTAATATATTTTGGCTCAGAAATACGGAGGACAGATTACGGATTATCAGTGCGTCAAATATGGAGAAGAGTTTTTTCATTACTATCCTTCACATCTTCCCGATTATGGAAAAGGTATGAAGATATTAACTATAAATACATGTACATATCTTTAATATAAATTTCAACTAAAAGATTAATAATTAAAATGTTATGCACTTTAACATACCACAATGTAAAGGTTATTTTTAGCTCACCTGAGCCGAAGGCTCAAGTGAGCTTTTCTGATCACATTTTGTCCGTCGTCCGTCCGTCTGTCTGTCTGTCCGTCTGTCCGTCTGTAAACTTTTCACATTTTCGACTTCTTCTCAAGAACCACTGGGCCAATTTTGACCAAACTTGGTACAAAGCATTCTTGGGTAAAGATGGATTTAAATTGTTAAAATGAAGGGACAAATCCCCTCGCAAGGGGAGATAATCAAGAAAAGACAAAAATAGGGTGGGTTCATTAAAAAATCTTCTTCTCAAGAACCACTGAGCCAGTAAAGCTGAAACTTATGTGGAAGCATCCTGGTATAGTGTAGATTCTAAATTGTTCAAATCATGACCCCCGGGGGAAGGGCGGGGCCACAATGGGGAATCAAAGTTTTATATAGAAATATATAGGAAAAATCTTTGAAAATCTTCTTCTCAAGAACCACTGGGCCAGTAAAGCTGAAACTTATGTGGAAGCATCCTGGTATAGTGTAGATTCTAAATTGTTCAAATCATGACCCCCGGGGGAAGGGCGGGGCCACAATGGGGAATCAAAGTTTTATATAGAAATATATAGGAAAAATCTTTAAAAATCTTCTTCTCAAGAACCACTGGGCCAGAAAAGCTGAAACTTATGTGGAAGCACCCTGGTATAGTGTAGATTCTAAATTGTTCAAATCATGACCCCCAGGGGAAGGGCGGGGCCACAATGGGGAATCAAAGTTTTATATAGAAATATATAGGAAAAATCTTTGAAAATCTTCTTCTCAAGAACCACTTTGCCAGAAAAGCTGAAACTTATGTGGAAGCATCCTAGTATAGTGTAGATTCTAAATTGTTCAAATCATGACCCCCGGGGGAAGGGCGGGGCCACAATGGGGAATCAAAGTTTTATATAGAAATATAGGAAAAATCTTTGAAAATCTTCTTCTCAAGAACCACTGGGCCAGAAAAGCTGAAACTTATATGGAAGCATCATGGAATAGTGTAGATTCTAAATTGTAGGAATCATGACCCCCAGGGGAAGGGCGGGGCCTCAATGGGGAATCAAAGTTTTATATAGAAATATATAGGAATATATAGGAAAAATCTTTGAAAATCTTCTTCTCAGGAACCACTGGGCCAGAAAAGCTGAAACTTTTATGGAAGCATCCTGGTATATTGTAGATTCTAAATTGTTCAAATCATGACCCCGGGGGAAGGGCGGGGCTACAATGGGGAATGGATATAGAAATATATAGGAAAAATCCAAAAAAGCTGAAACATATGTGCCAAAAAGGACCATGGGGTAGTGTAGATTTCAAAATGTCTAAGTTATGATCAGTGGGGTAATGTGGGGATGCATTATGTATAACAAACTAGGTGAAATCTGGTAAAGAACAGAATGGTCAAAGCTTCTCAGGTGAGCGATGTGGCCCATGGGCCTCTTGTGTTTAAATGTTATGCACTTTAACATACCACAATGTAAAGGTTATTTTGTTTAAATTTAAATTTGTAAAGGTAAGTCTACACATTATTTTTCTAAAAGCATGCCGATTACAAACCTGGTCTTCGTAAGAAGAATTTTGTAAAACTTATGATCATGATTTTGACTGCGATCTTAACCGAAGGGTCTTGATTTAAAAAAAAAATATGTGTGCCTTTTCTAACAAAATAATTTTTTTATTAGCTCACCTGAGCTGAAGGCTCAAGTGAGCTTTTTTGATCAAAGCTTGTCCGTTGTCTGTCGATGTCGTCTTCGTAAACTTTTCATATTTTCGTCTTCTTCTCAAAAACAACTGGGCCAATTTCAACTTGCCACAAAGTATCCTTGGATTCAAATTTTGTTCAAATGAAGGGACACACCCTCCTCCAAGGGTAGATAATTATGAAGTAATGAAAAATAAATTGCATCTTTTGAATATCTTCTTCTCAAGAAACAATGGGCATGAAAAGATGAATCAAAATCATTACCCCGGGGAAGGGAGTAGCCACAAAGGCTTTTCAAAGATTTACATAAGAAAATATTGGAAATGTCTATGAAAATCTTCTCCAGAACCATCGGGCTAGCAAAGATGATATTCATGTAAACATATCCTCAGGTATTGTTGAATCAAGTTTGTGCAATCGTGGCCCCCGCGGGTAGAGTTGGACCACGGTGGCGGATCAAAGGTTTACATAGGAATTTATAGTAAGAAGGATATAAAACAATACAAAATAGGAGCAGAGCAAACACGGACCCCCGAAACATCAGAGGTGGGATCAGGTGCAATGGAGGAGTGAGCATCCCCTGCCGACTGGTCACACCCCGTGCTCCTTCGCAGCTGGGTTAAGGCCGCCCATAAGAAATAAGCCTTTTAAAATATCCCAAAAAATCAATATAATGCATTGGCGTCGGAAGCAAATTGAAAGTGGGGGGGCTAAGTGTAAAAAAAATTTATTGAACCTTCACAAAAATCCTGACAAGCAAAAAAAAAAAAAAAAAAAAAAGGGGAATGTCTATTTCCCAAAACACGAAAATCCTATTTCGTGGGGGGGGGGGGGGGGGGGGGGGGGGGGGGTTGGTAGGTTCAAGCTTCAGTACCACACTTTTTTTTCTAAAAACACCACCACTTTCCCAATCCGGTTCCGACGCCTATGTAATGTCGATATTTTTTTTATTAGCGTGAGTTTTAATTTAATGGAAACTATCAGCTGTTTGTCACGTGACAGTTTTAAAATTAGAAGAAAATGTACGGATATAAAGATCGTAAAAGTTCAATGATATACGGATAATTTTTCAGCATGAAATTGATCGTGTTTTCTTTAAGACAAATTTCTTAACCCGAAAAGTGCTGGGAGCAACTTCTCAATGCCCAAGAAATATATAAAATTAGTCGGCTTTTGATAAACTATGTGCATATACACTATACGCATAGAAGAAATGTAAAACTACGGAAAAACTCAACAGCGCACAACTTGCTCCCAGCACTTTTCAAAATAGTAGGGACAATAGCTACGTGTGTATGAAATATTATAATTTATAATTAAGGGTATATCGTTGAACTTTTGAGATTTTTGAGGGGTTGTACATGTGATTGAAGTACGTTTCTGAATAAAAGTGCACGACTGCGGCTTTATAAGAGACCTAATAGTTATCAATTAAATAAGACTGTTAACTATTGATAAATGCATTCAAAAATATCAATCAATTATAGTCAGATCATGCTTACTTAGATTTAATATTCATATTTTCAGTTCAGCTTTATCTGCGTTTCAAGTACAGAGAAACTGCGTGTCAAACTAGCCTATGACGTCATATCTTTTATTACAGCGAGATCAAGTTGGCTTTGATTTTACATTCTAATAGAGTTGTAATGACAAGATAAGTTACACATTGATTAATATTTACAATTATCATGAGAAATCAAAGTATGTAAGAGTATATGAAAAAGAAAATTATTATTTATTCAATGAGATTCCTTTGTACAATTTCACCGTGACGTCATAATCGAATTCCCGAGGCTCTGCATACACTGATCTACCTTGGGTAGCCCTTAACTTAGTTGCGTTGTCATGAACAGGAAATAACGGAAAAAATCCGTCGTCAATTAAGTGTATAAATAATGAACTAACAATTGGTATGAAAAAAGTCAGTCAAAATTTTACTCGATGATAAACTGTATTTGCTGACAAGATCATTGTATCGACCACAGAACTTACGAAATGATGACTTTAAACGAGACTGTTGTTATTCTTGATTCGTCAACTTGCTTGTCAATAATTAACCTCGTTTTAGAAATTGTTCATACGTAGAGCATGCTCTTGCGTATTGAATCAACTGAGATATATATACTCCGTATGTAGGTGATGAAGGTATATTGCTGCATAAGTAAGGGAAGTTGGCGATAGAAAAGTAACGATAATTAAATTGACATGTCAGTAAAAATAGTAATGATTGAAAAATAGTACTTGGCGAAATTAACAGAGATTTTTTTAAAAAGCCCCAATACTTATAAAACTCTAACATTAGAGCATCCCCATCTCGATAATCTAAATTAGCCATATAATGATAAGATCTATTTAAAGCTTCTTCATGCGGAAAATAATAAATTCACATTTAATATTCTGTATAAAAATAAATATGTGAATCAATCACAGAAGAATTATTAATATACACAATAATTGTGATTAAATATTCATGTTCATGCCGTGTATTTCATATATGTACAATGTAAGTGAGAAAGCCTTCTTCCTCCAATAAATATTATAATTATTTCAATTTTTATGTGCGTAAATTTTCTGTTCATAAATAACTTTCGCATACATGGAAGGACTCCTGGCACACTACCCAGAATCAATATCTACTGCCTTTTATAGTTCCATTGTTTATTGATAATCTCATTTCTGAGTTAGCTCCACCCATTAAAGTAATAAACCCTGCCCACTGGGACTGCTCTGGGACTGCTTTGTGTCAGGTTGGGTCTGGTCGGTACTGTATCATTGGTATTGTTTCAGCTTTCTAGTTTGACCCCTTTCTTTCTTCAAGGTCACGTACAGAAATACACAATTTTACCATAACCTGAGGACTTTTTGAAAGAATTTAGGCTTCAAACTTGGAACATGTAGAGGACACATAGATGAAGAGTGTATTTGATCAAAATCTTTTACGTTGAGCCACTTATTATAAGGTCAAGTACAATCTTGCACATGTCATAAGTCATAACTTGAGACCTTTCTTGACATAAGGATTCAAACTTGGATCAAGTAAAGAAAACATTATTACATTAATCCTATATATATACTACATCAAATTATTTGACCTTGACCACTTTCTTCATTTCATGTTAAATGGAGGGAAAAACTAGACCAGACAATAACTTTATTTCTTGCTTCATACTTGAAAAAGACACAAATGGTAATCTAACAACCAAGCTATATGATAAACGTGATGACTTTAACTTTTCTATCGTCAACTTCCCTTACTTATGCAGCAATATACCTTCATCACCTGCATACGGAGTATTTATCTCAGTTGATTCGATACGCAAGAGCATGCTCTACGTATGAACAATTTTTTAAACGAGGTAAATTATTGACAAGCAAGTTGATGAAACAAGAATATCAACAGTCTCGTTTAAAGTCATCATTTCGTAAATTCTATGGTCGATACAATGACCTTGTCAGCAAATACAATTTATCATTGAATGAAATGCTGACTGACGTTTTTCATACCAATTAATAGTCCATGATACACTGAATTGACAACGGATTTTTCCGTTATTTCCTGATTATGACAATGAGCACACGGCGGGTGTGACCGGTCAGCAGGGGATGCTCACTCCTCCATGGCACCTGATCCCACCTCTGATGTTTCGGAGGTCCGTGTTTGCTCTGCTCTTGTTTTGTATATTTGTTTAATGGACGTTGAGATTGAATACTGTTCGTTATTTCCATATCCTTATTTATTTCCTTTTAAAGATCTTTGCTTTGTTTTTTTTACCTTGTTTTATTTGGTAAGAAAACAATACACATTAGTTTTATTTAGATTTAATATTAATGGAATGAATCTTGAAAATAGCGATTTTTCCTGTCAAATAAATTTGCACGCTCTCAGTGACACGGTTTTCTTCCTGATAATCATGTTTTAAGTTGAATTTATTCTGGTCACTTTTGATTCCCTTCAAATAGAGATGATTATTAAATCTGACCTATGAGTTCTATAAGGGACACAGACTCAAGGAGTCCATTTGGTGCCCCTCGGATTATCCTCAGATATATTAATCATATGTCATATGTGCAGTCTTCAGATTCCCAGTTTTGGTATAAAACCAATACATCATATACCAAATTGAAAGAGTGTAAAGTTTCTATTACAAATATATTGGATGATTCCTTTTGCGATCCAATGTCTTCGGTTTCAAAATGTTCTGTGCGAAACTGTAAAACCTGTGACATTTTGATAACTGACACTTCTTTCATTAGTAATCTTACTGGACGGAGCTTCTATACCAAAACTTGGGAAAATCTGAACTGCAAATCTTCTAATGTTGTCTATGGAATAGAATGTAATCTGTGTGGACTTATTTATGTCGGTGAAACCAAGGGATCGCTTAACAAAAGAATATCAGGTTTTCGATTTCAAATAAATCATGGTGGTCAGCAGCTTTTATATAAACATTTTAATTCACCTGATCATTCTATTTTATCAATGAAAGTTAGAATTCGGGAAAAGATTTATCACCACACAAATAGTCGGTCGTTGAGTACACCTTTCCGTAGACAATGTGAAGAAGTTTGGATTAGGAAACTAGGGACAGCCTTTCCCTATGGATGTAATGACAATGTCGATAGTGTGGGAAATCTTATAAGCCCGCAGTTTAATAATGTAAATGTGATGGGACTTTTTAACAATATTCAGAGACGTAAGCGTAATTATGGACATCGTTCGTACAATAAACCTGCAATACACGACGTCTCTTTTGATTCATTACTACCTTATGTAAATCAACAGTAAGGTCTACATCATATTTCAACCAAACTTTACTCTGTCCCTTTGAAACTTTTAAATAGTTTTCTTGAAAAGACCAAGGAACATCCAAATTTAGATTCCCCGACACCTGAATATAGGCTCGGTTCTGTGATTATGGATATTGCACATCATAGGCTTTTTAAACCCGCACGTTTCACGGTAGAAAATGCAGCTAAAACAATCCGTCTTTTCCTTAAACTTCAATATGCCAATAAAGGAATTGACGCGGTAAATATTAGTAATATTCTTAATCACAAAAGGGTCCAGTCTTGTATTCCACCATATTTCAAGTTAAAGACTACACCTTGTATTTCCTACAAATATACATCGACCATTGCTTCCAAACTTTTCAATTACAAAAATACTTTACATGGCTCGGATATCGACTATCTGACTTTTCAACTTTATACACAACAATTCCGCACGACAAATTAAAATCCAGGCTTTTTGATATCATTGACAGCTGCTTCTTCAACAAAAATGGAACTCGTAAGTTTACTTACCTCGTCATTGGTCATTTGAAAAATTATTTTGTTAAAACAGATTCTGATTGCACACATAAGTATTCTGAAGTTGACATCAAGAAGATGCTTGAGTTTCTGATTGACAATATCTATGTGGTTTAAAAAATTTAGACAGGATCACAGCTTTTTATAGAAACTACAATACTTGTTGAAAATATTTATATACTAAACTTAGAAATTTAAGTTGGTTATGACCTTACACTAGTGACATTTATATGTAACATCAATACTTCAAGTCAATGTGCTAAAATCGCGTGACTGCCGCATCACGTGACTAGTCTAAATACAAAATATAATCGTCCTCGATATGTAGTTATTAATCATTATTACAATTATACGATATAAATAATGTACTAAAAATAATCGCCATCCCGATTACGAATACATTTTTAAATACAAAATTTAGCCGATATTTCCATTGCGCACCTTAACTGTACTGCGCAGTTTAAAACTGGCTACCGTTGCCATGGAAACATGCAAAAAGCGACGGATTTGTCCGCGATGTTCTCTCTGGACCCTTGGACATTCTTCATGAAACTTTATTGATTTAGAGATAAATATCTGTAATTATGCTCATTGGATTCAAAAATTGCAAATTGTCAATAGTTTCCATGGAAACAGGGGAAAAGTGAAAAATCTTTATTAACTTTGATTTTTTAATCAAAGTACTGAAAGGACTGATACAAGTTGATGGTTGTCCAAGCTTAGCTAATGGGTATTGTTTTAGTGATGAAAAAAGTAGTCTTGTCCAGTTTGGGGCGACATACGCTATTGCATGCAATAGCAGACTTCATAGTTAAGGAATTTCCACACTCACAATTTTATGGGTTCAAAGTACAAAAACTGCATATATTTTCATTCAATATACTTAAAACTTTCCATTTATTGCAAAAAATGTATAGGTCACCATATTATTTAAGATACAAAACATAAATAAACAGAACTGTATGTCAACATCAAAAAATTGTACATTTTTTTTTAAAAGTATTGAGAAAAATATGTAAAAACTGGTTAATATGCATAATTCTGATGCTGTGTGATCCTAAATACTTCCTATCTAAAAGATACTTTTGAATTGTGAATATCAGGTAAACTATTTTACAGAAAAGCAAATGCCTGAATGAAGAGACCTTAGAAGGAGTTATTGCCCTTGTAAACATTATTTAAAGATTGAATAATTGATTAAATATAGAAAATATGCATTTTTTGAATTCTTTAACTAAACAATATTTATCATTACACCTATTGTAAAGCATTCTTCCAAGAGATATTTCTCTATAAGGTACAAATTTAAACTA